TAAATAAATAAATTCCTAGTAGAAATACTGGTACCTAAGAAGACACTCTGTGTCTTAAATCAGAAGGAGACTGGTAACACCTTTTCAGCCTAATAATTAAATAAGACTAAAGCTACAAATGTTATTAACTACAGATCACTGTCAGATTCATGGAGTAGCTAAACTGATGGAGGATTTAGATTGGGGTGAGGCAGGGAGAAAAAGCAGGGAGATGAGGTGGTTATGCAGAGGCAGGTTACATCTGAGACACATTGCAAATACCATATCAATTAACAATTGTAATGTATTAAAAACCCATTGTGTTTGTTGAGAGCTTGCGAGATCTTCTGATGTATGTCAGTTCTTCAGTCTTCTGGTCAATCATGCTGGTAAAAGTTTTGTTCCAAAACAGGTCCTTTGAAATACTCTTTCTCTACTGTGATACATGCTAGAATCTGCCAGCAATGTCCCTCTGAATTCTGTGTTGGACAGGCAGGTCAAACCTTGCACAGAAGAATGGACACCAGTTTGACAATGGGACTCAAAACAAGGGCAGTGTAATATCAGACCATTTTAACCTCACAGGGCACTCCATGAGAGATCTCAAAGTAGCTGTTTTGGAATAAAGAAACTTTACTACACCTCACAGTACAATACACATGCATCTGAAGGTGTGGGGTCATTGCATAAGATATCAACAAACACAATGGGTTTTTAATACATTACAATGTTATTTTTGTAATTTGTTTCATTTCATTTTTTAATTTAAAAAAAACAATTTTTGTTAAGTAAAAAAGCAACGAAGAAAAAATAGACAAAGGGATAGAATGCATAGATATAATTACATACACAGGAGTGTAGTTCCTAACTCACCTCTGTTATTATTGACCTTTTTTAAAAATTAATATTATTATTTTTGTTGCATAAGCTGACACTGAGGTGAGGGTTGAAGTGAGAATTCAAAAGATTAGATTTAATATAATGATTAAGAAAAATGAAAAAAAATAGTTAAAAAATAAAAATAAAATAAAGGAAAAAATGTGTATAAGAAAAAGCATTCAAGCAGCCACTGCTTTTTTCCTCCTGACTGCTAAATGCTACTTCAGTATTTTTATACTATGTTTTCAACTTCTACAGTTATTAATCATTTCTCTTTAGATCATTTTAATTATTTTTAAAGAGTGTCTCTCCTGTACAGTTGTTAATTGATAAGGTGCTTATAAGCTGTCTCACTTGTAACTTGTATCTGCATAACCACCTTGTCTTCTCCCCTGCCTCATGCAATACCACATAAGTTAGCCACTTTGTGCATCTGACAAAACAAGTTGTAGTTCACAAAAGCTTATGCCTTTTAACAAAATTTGTTAGTCCGAAAAAGTGCTATCAGACTCTTTTTATTTGGGGCTACCATATAAATCAGTGTTTCTCAACCTCCTCAACTTTAAGATGAGTGGACTTCAAGTCCCAGAATTCCTCAGCCAGCATGCTGGCTGAGGAATTCTGGGAGCTGAAGTCCATACATCTTAAAGTTGAGGAGGTTGAGAAACACTGATATAAACTAACACAGCAGTCGTCCTACAGTGTCTGCTCTGTATTAGTATGCTGTGCTGGCAGTTTTCAGTGCCTATATTCACTCCAAAGTGAATTTCACCCTATTTTAATTCTAGCAGTAGATAATTATTCATGATTCATTGGGGCAGTTTGTGGATGATGGTGTACTTTGTTTATTTGGATTTGCATCCAAATGCATATGCCAGTGTGGTCCAAACTTGGCCACTTTAAGATGAGTGGACTTCAACTCCCAGAATTCCCCAGCCAGCATGCTGGCTGAGG